TTGGTTGTCTTAACTGATGTATCCCAGTCCACAGTAGGTGCTTAATAAATTTGGTGGCGGGAGATGAACACATTGCCTGCAAGGGGGCATGGCTGGGCAGGGCCGCGTGCTCAGGCCCCCCCTCCCCAGGCGGCCGCTGCATCCGGCCCTCCCTGGCTCATTTGCTTCTGCGCATGTCTGTTTCTGAATGTGGTGTGTTTTGTGTCTTTGTATTTTGACTTAACCTGACTCAGTGCCATATTTCTTAAGAAAAAGGATTTATTATTTATTTTATTTATTTAACAGGCAGAGTGACAGGGAGAGAGTAACCACAACAGCTGGGGTTGGCCAGGGCTAGACCAAAGCCATGAGCTGGGCCCTTGATCCTGGTCTCCCCCATGGGGGCAGGGGCCTGAGCAGTTGGCCGTCTTCTGCTCCTTCCCAGGCACAACGACAGGAAGGTGGGTTGGAGGCAGAGTGGCGGGGACTCAAGCCTGCGTTATCACCTGGGCTATGATGATGGCGTCTCGAGGGGTGGCTTTACCCTCTGTGCCACAGCGCGGGCCCCTGCCGTATTCCCGTGCATCGCAGTTCGAGTTAGAGGACAAGAAGCAGGTCTTTTGGGGCTCACCTGTCTGGAATGTTCAGCTCCGGGCGTGGAGGGGGAGCAGGCGTCCTGTGTCCCCTCTTCTTCCTGCTGAGTCCCCGGTGTAGGTGCCTGGGTCCTCCCAGCCCCTGCCACGGCAGCCAGGGGTGGGGTCCTCCTGCACCCCCCTCTTCCCTGCAGGCCCTGCAGCTACTGTCAGGTCACCCTGGCTTCTTCCCGGCCTGGGCCTTTCCCACGTTGCTGCCGGCCCTCTGCTGCTTCCTCCCACTCCGCACCCTCCTCCTCCTCTGTGGTGTGACCTCCCCCGCCAGGAGGACGACACCAAGATGAGAGACCTCTCCCACCCTCCTCTTCCTCTGTGGTGTGACCTCCCCCTCCTCTGTGGTGTGACTTCCCCCGCCCTCAGCATCTGCAGTTCTCCCTCTTCTATTTCTTGAGCCCGTGGTGACCTGAAAAGACCCTCTCACGAGCCCCCACGCGGTCAGCTGTCCCTTCCTCCAGCACTGGTGAGCTGTGGGCCCAGGCCTCTCCCTGTCTGACCTGCTGCTATCTCCCCTCCCACAGGTGTCTGCCCCTCCCCCATTCTGGTCCAGGTACCGCCTGAGGCCCCAGGGCAGCCTTCAGCTCCAGACCCCTTGCGGTGCTCACGCAGAGCCGGCCCTGCCACAGGCACGTCCACCAGCGTTCTCCCTGTGTCTGAGCTGGGATACCTGCATCCCATCTCAGTCCTGGGGCTGTCGCCCGTCTGGGCCCTGCCCACAGTCCCGCTGCCGGTGGCACATCCTCAGGGCTTCCTGCCCTTGTCCTCGTGCCGTTTGGCAGTGTCTGAGACGCAGTGGCCTGCATGTGAGCATCTGGGGCCTCACAGCTCTGGTGGCGTGGCTGGCGTGGCTGGCCGTGGCTGTCCTGCTCGTGTGGCCTGTGCTTTGGGTGCTCAGGGTCGCTCAGCGGCTCACGGTCTCTGGCCTCCCCCTTTCTGCAGAGATCTGCCTGCCCACTTCGTGCCCCTCCCACCTCCTAAAGCCTTGCTCGGGGCTGTGTCCACCCGGAGAGCTCTCAGCAATCCTCTCTGAGACCGTGTAGCCTCTGCTTGCTGGGGCAGGGGCGGCTTGGCACTGTGAGAGACGTATTGACCTCTTGATCTTTTGCTTCTCAAGATTTATCTGTGTGTTTGTTTGAAAGGCAAAGCAATGAGACGGGGAGGGAGGGGGAGCCCGGGAGCCATCTTCCTCGGCTGTTCATACCCTAAATGGCTGCAGTAACCAGGGCTGGGCCAGGCTGAAACCAGGAGTCAGGATCTCCATCGGGGTGTCTCATGGTGGCAGGAGCCCAAGCCCTTTCCAGGCGCGTTAGCAGGAGCTGGACTGGAGGTGGAGGAGCTGGCACTGACCCAGGCAAACCAAGCAGTGACTTCAGCCACTTTGCCACGATGCCTACCCCTCTTCCTTTAAATTAACCATTTTATTATCTGTTTATTGTATTTGATAGAGTGACAGAGACAGGCAGGCAGATTTCCCATCACTCACCAAATGCATGCAACACCTGGGGCTGGGCCAGGCTGAAGTCAGGAGGCAGAGCTCAGTCTGGGTCTCCCACACTGGAGGCAGGGACCTCAGCCATTGCCACCGCCTCCCAGCATGCACATTGACAGGAAGCTGGAATGGGAGTCGAGGAGGGACTCAAATCCAGGTGTTCTGATGTGGGATGCGGCTGTCCCGAGCAGCATCGTGCCCGCTGGACCAAATGTCAAATGTCTCGCCGCTTTTCTTCTTCCTGGACCAGCTGTACAATTTATGGGACCCAAGAATGTCAGGACGGTGACAGCAGATCATTAAACCAAGCATGGGGGCTGGGGGCGGGGTTGTAGCACTGGGAGTTAAGCCTCTGATTGGATTCCTGCATCCCCTATCATCAGAGTTCAAGCCCCAGCTCCTCGATGTCTTTCTTTTTGGATGGAATGGCAGAGTTAGAGAGAGGGAGGGTGGGAGATACAGAAAGATCTTCCAGTCTCTGGTTCACTCCCCAAATGGCCACAGTGGCTTGGGCCATCTTCCACTGCTTTGCCAGGTGCATTATTAGGAGGGAGTTGGATTGGAAAATGGAGCAGCCAGGACTCTAACCCGCGCCCATGTGAGATGCCGGCATTGCAAGTGGTGGCTTAACCCGTTACGCGGGCCCCAGCTCCTCGGTTTCTGACCCAGCTTCCTGCTAATGCACCTGGTAGGTGCAGTGATGGCTCAAGTACTGGGGTCCCTGCCACCCATGTGGGAGACCCAGCTGGGGTTCCCAGCTTCTGGCTTCAACCTAGTCAGACACAGGCCGTGTGCAGACATGTGGGACGTGAACCAGCAGGTAGACGACCTCTGTCTCTCTCCCTGTCACTCTGCCTTTCAACTAAATCTTAAACCAACTCGGGGCCTGTGGGCCTGGCCAAGCCTCATTCCCTGTGTCCACTGGAGGCTGTGGTGGAGGCCATGACCTCCCTCCGGGTGCACAGAGGGCAGCCACCAGCCTCAGCTTGCACAGCTGGTCAGGGGCAGAGCAGAACCAGGAGTGGAACGCAGCAGCCCCTGCCTTGCCCTGGCTTTGGGGCCCCAGGGCCTTGGGCCTGGTGTCTCCATCTGTGGACTGTTCATAAAGTGACAGACAGGACAGGTGGCTGTGAATCCTGGACACACGGGGCCTTTTGACCCCTCCCCCTAAAGCAGTGAGTGCAGAGCTCTCTGCTGCTTGGAAGCCCGGAGCCTTGTGTGTACAGCGATAATTGGCCAACACGGTGGCCCTTCATAAGTGGGAGAGGGCGCCTCTCCATGCGTGTGGGGAGGAACATGGGGGCGTGGGTGGGAAGCTCCGCGGGGCTCCTTGGTATTTCGGTGCTTTGATATCTACAGGTATGAAGGAACAGTTAATTGCTCTAAGTGGCCTGTTCCCCTCGGGTTAGTGTGGTAGAGCAGGTGGCAGTGGTGGGTGACAGCTCTGCCATCGCAGGGCTGGAGAGACCCTGCCCGAGTTCAGGGGAGGCTTTGGAAGTCCCCCCTTTTCTGGAATACACATGACCCCAGCAGCAGAATTGACCGCAGCATGGCAGCAGCAGGGAGATGGTATCCTTTGATTCGTGGAGGAGGGGTGCCCGGGGCAGGTGGACTCGTGGCCAGGCCGGCAGGGGTGTCAGCAGCTGTCTGTGTTAGTCAGTGTCCACACACACAGCCGCAGGTGCTCCCTGGGCACACGAGAACGTGAATGCCCCACCTGAGCGCATGGGAGGCAGGTGCCGGGAGACCCGAGCACACGGGAGGCAGGTGCCCGGAGACCCCAGTGCAGGCGAGGCAGGTGCCCGGAGACCCCAGTGCAGGGGAGGCAGGTGCCCGGAGACCCGAGCGCACGGGAGGCAGGTGCCGGGAGACCCGAGCACATGGGAGGCAGGTGCCCGGAGACCCCAGTGCAGGGGAGGCAGGTGCCCGGAGACCCGAGTGCAGGGGAGGCAGGTGCCCGGAGACCCGAGTGCAGGGGAGGCAGGTGCCCGGAGGCCCGAGCGCACGGGAGGCAGGTGCCCGGAGACCCCAGTGCAGGCGAGGCAGGTGCCCGGAGGCCCGAGTGCAGGGGAGGCAGGTGCCCGGAGGCCCGAGCGCACGGGAGGCAGGTGCCCGGAGACCCGAGCGCACGGGAGGCAGGTGCCCGGAGACCCCAGTGCAGGGGAGGCAGGTGCCCGGAGACCCTAGTGCAGGCGAGGCAGGTGCCCGGAGACCCCAGTGCAGGGGAGGCAGGTGCCCGGAGACCCGAGCACATGGGAGGCAGGTGCCCGGAGACCCCAGTGCAGGGGAGGCAGGTGCCCGGAGACCCGAGTGCAGGGGAGGCAGGTGCCCGGAGACCCGAGTGCAGGGGAGGCAGGTGCCCGGAGGCCCGAGCGCACGGGAGGCAGGTGCCCGGAGACCCCAGTGCAGGCGAGGCAGGTGCCCGGAGGCCCGAGTGCAGGGGAGGCAGGTGCCCGGAGGCCCGAGCGCACGGGAGGCAGGTGCCCGGAGACCCCAGTGCAGGGGAGGCAGGTGCCCAGAGACCCCAGTGCAGGGGAGGCAGGTGCCCGGAGACCCAAGTCCTGCTGGTCTCGTCTTCCCGGTGGGGGAGCGTCATCTCGTGCAAGTGTGGGACTTGCCCATCTTGTGTCCCTGCATGATTCATTCTGGTGTGATGTTTCTAGACGTCGTGACTAGCCCGGGGAGGGAGGCGTGTGGCATGGGGCAGACTGACCTGCTTTGGCCGGAAATGACAGGCTGGGGCGCCGCAGTCAGCACCCGTCCTGGGCTTGCCCGGCAGCACACGGATATTTCTGGGCTGCGGCAGAGCCTGTCTGGGAGCTCCCTGCCAGTTCTGGGGCCTTCCTGGCTCCTCCCATGACCCGTGTTCCGTGTTTCCATAGGGCGGCGCCTGCTGTGCTCCCTGGCCACAGCCCTCTCCTCACAGTTGAGCACCTGTTGGCCTGAAGCTAATCTCCAGGAGCAGGTAAGGACCTGAGGGAAGACGCTGACCTGTGGCCATAGAATGGGGGTGCGGGGCCCTGGGCCGCAGGTGCAAGGCTGACCACGAAGCCCACTCTTCTCGTGACTTCCGTTCCTTTCTTCAGGCGTGTGGACGCGTGTGGGGAGTCTTGTGGAACTGCTGGTTTCTCTTAGGCTGGTGTAGACTCTGAATTAACACTTTATATAAACCAGGAGTCGCACAGTTACGGGGTGTGGCATTTTTGTGTAGTGCAAATGTGAAAATACATGCGTGCATTTTAGAGTGAGAACATTTAAAATCTAGCACAGGTTTTTTTTTTTTTTTTTTTTTTTTTTTTTTTTTTTTTTTTTTTTTTTTTTGACAGGCAGAGTGGACAGTGAGAGAGAGAGAAAGGTCTTCCTTTGCCGTTGGTTCACCCTCCATTGGCTGCCGCGGCCGGCGCACCACGCTGATCCGATGGCAGGGCTGATCCGATGGCAGGAGCCAGGTACTTCTCCTGGTCTCCCATGGGGTGCAGGGCCCAAGGCCTTGGGCCATCCTCCACTGCACTCCCGGGCCACAGCAGAGAGCTGGCCTGGAAGAGGGGCAACCAGGACAGAATCCGGCGCCCCAACTGGGACTAGAACCCAGTGTGCTGGCGCCACAAGGCGGAGGATTAGCCTAGTGAGCCGCGGCACCGGCAGTTTTTTTTTTTTTTTTTAAGATTTATTTTTTGAAAGGTAGAGTTACAGAGAGGCAGAGAAAGAGAGACAGACAGAGAGAGGTCTTCCATCTGCTGGTTCACTCCCCAAATGGCTGCAACGGCCAGAGCTGGGCTGATCTGAAGCCAGGAGCCAGGATCTTCCTCTGGGTCTCCCATATGGGTGCAGGGGCCCAAGGACTTGGGCCATCTTCTGCTGCTTTCCCAGGCCACAGCAGAGAGCTGGATCGGAAGTGGAGCAGCCAGGATGTAAACTGGGATGCCAGCACTGCAGGCGGTGACTTTTCCCACTATGCCACAGCACCGGCCCTGCACAATGTGTTTTTAAAAGAACAAAAGCAGCAACAAGTGCCCAGGGGTCAGAGGTGGCTTGTGGGCCTGAAGGTCCCACCTTGCCATCCAGCCCAGCCTGAGTCAACTCCGTGTCCCCCGGCAGGTGCAAGACTCCTCTGGCTATAAATGGACACTAATTTCTAGAGCTGTGTGTATTCAAGCAGCGTCGACCGCACATTTATAAATACAAGGGAATGCCAATGGCTGTGTGCATGTGGGGCCACTTGTGCCTGTCAGAGGGAGGCCAGCTCCCCCAACTCTTGATCAGAATGGCCTGCGTTTCCCAGCCGGCCTGCCACGCTTCCATCTGCTGCATGACACACGCAGCTGTCTTGCCACCTGGGCCCCTGCTGCACCACCTCCTGATTCTTCTAAAGTGAGGTCAACTTTCTGGAGCTGGAGATCATGTGACGGCCACCAGTGGGTCTCTGTGGAGGCTGGGCAGGAGCGTGGCGTCTGGGGCGCCTCTCACAGAGGAGAAGCGTGTGGCTTCTCGGGTCATGCGTGGTAGGATAGGTCCTTCATGGTGGCCGTGAGCCACTGCCTCGCCATCCCTTCCCGACCAGAGGCAGACCCAACACTGGCAGCGGGTTGTGTATGTGCACGTGTGTGCATGTGTGTGTGCATGTGTGTGTGCACACACTTCTGGCTGAGGCAAGCGTGCGTGCCTGGGCTTCTTGTCACTGTCTGCTGTGGTCAGAGCTGGTTTTCTGGAGTAACGCCCACTGGCCCTTGATTGACAGGTGGCCGTCCCCTGCCTGGTGTGTGTCCACAGGTTTCTCCCAAGGCTGACAACTGCCCGGCGTTTCTTCCCCATCCCTCTGTCCTGGGCAGCTGGCACCAGGGGACGTTCTTAGGGTCTGGCGTGGAAGCACTGCCCCTGTGTAGGTGCTGGGACAAATGTGGGGGACCTGGGGGCGCAGGACGGACAGGCGCCCTCATCCCTGGCTCTGACAGCCAAGGCTGGGCTGAGTAACTCCTGCCTGATAACTGGAATACCTGTTAATGGAGACCAGTTCTCGATCCCTTGGAGGGGCGGAATAAGAATTCGCAGGGGAAGTTAATCTGATGCTTGTCAGTGTTGTAATGAAAATTTAATAGCACGTTTGCTTAGACAACACCGAGCTCACTTAAACAAACACTTGCAGCACACCCGCGACAGACGTTGCTGTTTGGGGTGACAGTGATTTATTCTCTTCAATTATTCATTTTCCTCCCACTGCCACCCTTGCTGCCGGTGAGGGCAGAATTGTGTAAACCAGTCCCAACATTTCCCATGTGTTTGAACTGGGGGTGAAGGGTGGGGCCGCGTGCTCCTGGCCACCCCCTGCCCCACATCCAGCCCTGAGCGTTCCCTCCCTGCCAGGCAGCAGGGCGGGGTGGGCTCAGACCAGGGCTTGAGGAGACCTAGGTCACCAGAGCCTTGAGGAATGGCAAGTCGAGAATCTTCCCCGGAGCCGGAGTCAGCTACAGCGGTGGCTCTGTGGGGAGGGTACCACGTGGGAATCGCCTGGTTGCAAGGGCCCACCCAGGCCCACAGCTGTGGCCAAAAGCCCCAGTGGTCACCAGTAAGGGTGGGACCGGGGAGGCTGGGACAGTAGGGACAGTGGAATGATGTGGGCCTGCTGACTAGGGGTTGGAGGTTCGGATCTTTGAACAAAATCCTGTGAGATAGGTCCCGTGCAGACACCTGCTGTGTGCCAGGACCCCTGGGACCCGGGATGCAGCCGCAGAAACCTGACCCCTCTCCTTGCCGGGGCTGGGCTCCCTCCCGGAGTGGAGTAACCTTTCGCTGGAACCCGGCACTGGAGTGTGGGTTGTGGCCCTGGGCTGGGAGTGAGGGCAGCCTGATGGCCGTCAGGAGCCCTAGGGAATCTTTCCAGGGAGGATGCTGCGGCCGTGCTGCGTGTGTATGTGTGGCGACACCTAGTGGCCAGCCCTGTGCATGCCACGTGTCTCACCAGGAGGGCCCCCTGCAGCCTGGGCAAGACACAGGACAGAAGAGGAGGTTTTCTGTGCTGGGAGCCCTCGCTCCTTGGGTGAGGACTGTGGGGAGCAGCTAGGTCTCTCCGGAAAGCACGGAGCCGGGACACACCGAGTACTTTAGAAGTGAGAGTCCTTTGCAGAAGCTAAGAGAGATGGGGTCTGTGCCTCAGTCTCTCTTAACAGAGGCATCTGCCCCGAGCTGATGTGAGAGGGGTGGGGGAGTGGCGTAGCTGAGACACCAAGGGCCAGTGCGCTCCCCCCCGCCCCCACCTGGCAGGGTTTATGAAGCCCTGGGCAGGTGCTAGGTTGCAGGACAGGGTGAGCAAGGCAGACACAGGCCTGGCCGCCCAGCAGGGTCGGGAGAGACACCAGCCGAGGGCCTGTTCAGAAACTCAGGACAAGACAACAGCGCTGTGGGACCCAGAGGGGCTTGGGCCACGTGCTGGGGAAGGCATCTTCAAGCCAAGATGCAGGACGAGGAATGAGGTCTAGGCCAGTGCAGAGGTGGCCGGAGCTCGCTGGCACATTCTAGAAACGGCCCAGGGGCCAGGAAGGCAAAGCACAGGCGTTGTGAGGGAGGGGCGGGGCTGGTTTGCAGGTAGGTTTAAGCAGGCAGTGATGTCGCCTGCTCTGTTTGCTTGAAGACAGCTCTGGCTGCTTTGTAAGAACAGGGTGTGAAGGATGGGAGGGGATGTGAGGACCTGGGCTGTGGCCCAGAGGGAGGCGGCTGCCCGGAGAAGGAGGCCGCACCACCCATGCCTGAGACCGTGCTGCGTGGCTGTGAAGGAGGAGGGGTCAGAGGTTGATGGGAGAAGCAGTACCCAGCGCCGGGCTTTCCCACCCGGCCGTGCCACCCAGGCGTCCTGTGCGCCCTGGCTGAGCCGTGGCCTGAGTGCTTCTCCTTGGGGCTGACCACTCCTTTTCCCTGTCCTCAGCTATTCCTCGGCCCTTTTTTTTTTTTTTTTTGACAGGCAGAGTTAGACAGTGAGAGACAGAGAGAAAGGTCTTCCTTTTCCATTGGTTCACCCCCCTAAATGGCCGCTACGAATAGCGCTGCGCCGATCCGAAGCCAGGAGCCAGGTGCTTCCTCCTGGTCTCCCATGCAGGTGCAGGGCCTCGGGCCCTTTCCTGAGGAGGTGCGAGAGGGGCAGAGGAAGAGAGCCTAGAGCCCTGGGAGTCGGCAGGAAGGTTCTAGAAGGAGCCCCATGTTGCACCCGGTGTACATCAGCCCCAGCTGACCAGGGTTTTGGTCTGTTGTGTGAGCTTTTGGGGCAGGGCCCCGTTAGCCCTGGGGCCTGAGCAGTGGACAAGTACCCTCAGGGAGCTGCCGCCCTGGCCCTGGCACGTGTCCAGTTCTCCTTTGCTCAGAGAGCCACTCTGCCAGGCACAGCCCACTGGTCCAGGGTTGCTGGCCCCTGGGGTAGACCGTGTGGAGTGTCCTTGGCCCGCCAGCCCAGTTCCTGGTTCTCCAAGCACAGCTCCTTGGCACTGGGAGTGCCGAGGCTCCACCCCCCCAGCTGCCGCGTTATGCGTTATTTCTGACTCATCCAGGAGCGATAGCGCGTGTAACCCAAGCCCCTCCACGCCCGCTGCCTCGCCCCCAGGGCCTCCCGGGCTTACCGGGCTTCTCTCCTGGGGCCTTGACGCAGCTCAGGTCCCAGCGACACCTGGGCGCAGCTGCTGGCCTCCCCGGCTGCCTGCAGGACTGCCCTTCCACAGGTGGGCTGGGCTAGGGAGGGTGGTGGCGGCGGCCCCGCAGCCCTGTGTGTCGCGCCCTCGGCAGGGGCGTTTGGCCGGGGAGTGGTCTTGGTGTCGGGACTGGGCACCAGCCAGCTGCCGTGGTTCGCGTCTCTGCTGCCCCTCCTGGAGCTTGCTTGCTTCAGGCCCCCGGGACACGCGAGGCATGGCTCACGGCAGGAGGCGTGCTGCAGGGGGAGCTGGCTGGGCACAGGGTGGCAGGCAGGCCCCCTGCAGTGGCTGTGGGCTGGAGCTGCTCAGAGTGGCCGAGCCAGGCTGGCAAGGCAGGAACCGGGCCCTGGGCGGGAAGAGCGTGGGTCACTCGGCAGGGGTCTGAGCCCCTCCCCCCATGCTGCCTCTCCCCTGCAGGAGTCCCCGGAGCTGGGCCAGGGGGATGAACCGCGAGGGCGCTCCCGGGAAGAGTCCGGAGGAGGTGTACATTCAGCAGAAGGTGCGCGTGCTGCTCATGCTGAGGAAGATGGGCTCGAACGTGAGTGCCTGGGGGGGGACACCTGCCGGGGGGGTGGAGCGGGGGGCACCTGCGGGGGGGTGCTGCAGAGACCTGGGCTCGAACGTGAGTGCCTGGGCTGCTGGGGGGTGTGGGGGGGCACCTGCCGGCGGGGTGCTGCAGAGACCTGGGCTCGAACGTGAGTGCCTGGGCTGATGGGGGGGGCACCTGCCGGGGCGGGGGCACGTGCCGAGGATGGAGGGGGCTGCAGTGACCTGGGCTCAAACGTGAGTGCCTGGGCTGCTGGGGGGGGCACCTGCCGACAGGGGACTGCAGAGACCTGGGCTCGAACGTGAGTGCCTGGGCTGCTGTGTGCCTGGGGGGTGGGGGGCGCGCTGCAGAGACCTGGGCTTGAACGTGAGTGCCTGGGCTGCTGTGTGGTGGGGGAGGTGGGGGGGGCATGTGCCGAGGATGGAGGGGCTGCAGAGACCTGGGCTCGAACATGAGTGCCTGGGCTGATGGGTGGCGGGGGGTGGCACCTGCCGGGGGGGCGGCGCTGTAGAGACCTGGGCTCGAACATGAGTGCCTGGGCTGCTGTGTGGCGGGGGGGAGGGGCACGTGCTGAGGATAGAGGGGGCTACAGTGACCTCCTGGGCTCACACACGAGTGCCTGGGCTGCTGTGTGGCAGCGGTGCGGGGGGGGGGGGGCAGTGACCTGGGTTGCCAGGGCCCCGGCAGGGTGGGGGGTTGCTGCTGGGCCTGTGGCTTGGTGTTCAGGCCCCAGATATTGAGCGCTGCATTGGGGCCAGGAGGGTGAAGGCCATTCTGGATCCCCGAGGGTTCTCTCCTTGGGGGCAGCTGAGGGGCTGGGCAGGGCAGGCATCAGGAGGGGCAGCAGACACACGGGTGTGGGGCCGTGTTTCAGGAGAGGGGAGGATTTGGAATTGCTGTCGGCTCACTGGGCAGGGCCCGTCTTCCCACCGCCCTGTGCTAGCTGAGATTCTGGTCTCAGATTCCATCTGAGTGACAAGGCCTGTGGGCCCCTTGGACCTCGTTCCAGGGGTGGGAGGAGGCTGTGCTTGCTCTGAAGCCAAAGGGTCAGAGCTCAGGAATAGAGTCCCGGGGGCAGAGGAGGGGGCCCCCGGGGGTCAGGCAGGCCTGGGCGGGGGCCTTGGAGAGTAGGCGCACGCCGCCCTCACCCTCTGCTCTCTCACCCTGCAGCTGACAGCCAGTGAAGAGGAGTTCCTGCGCACCTACGCAGGGGTGGTCAACAGCCAGCTCAGCCAGCTGCCGCAGCACTCTATCGACCAGGGTGAGTCAAGACCCTCCCGGGCACCGAGCGCTGCTTCCTTTAGGGAGCTGGGTGGGTGACCTGTGGGACTTGGAGCCGGCAAGAAGGCCACAGCTCCTTGTCACCCACAGAGCGCTTCCCTGGGAGCCTCCTGTCTGGTCCCACCTCCGGGGACCCTCCAAGGCAGACTGGGGAATCCCTGGGGACCCTCGTGATTGCAGGGGGGCTGGCTGTTGCATTTCCTTAAACTTTGGCCTGGCCCCTGCCCACAGGGGCAGAACTGCCCTGGTATGCTGGCACAGTGCCATCTCTCTGTTGGCTTGGATGCTGCGGCTGATGTGGTCTGGGCTGCGGCCAGAGGGGTGCCCCAGAGGCCCAGGAACTCTGCTCTTCGTGTGCCTGGGGAGTTCTGCCTGTTCTGGGGGGACCCAGCCAGTCATCGGCAACATTTGAGTGCCCCGTGTAGCTGGCACTGTGCCTAGGCGTGGTCGCCTCTCACACATTCACTTGACTGTGGGTAGCACTGTGTGTATCACCTCCACTCAGCAGACGAGGACACTGGGCGCGGGGTCGGTCCTGCCGGGGCCCTGGGAAACAGACCTGCAGCCGGCTCCCGGAGCTGCTGCGGCCACTCGGTGTGGAGGCTCAGTCTCTGGGAAGCTCACCCTGACACCGCAGCCCTCTCCCTTTTCTGTCCATGCTTTGTTAGAATTACTGGCTGTAGGATGTTCCAGCCCGTGGCATGTCAGGACGTGAGTGGGCTCCCCGGGGAGAGTGCTGACAGGTGTGCTGAGTGCTGCCGCCCTCGTTTCCCCGCGCTGATGCGGCCTCTGCCCTGGCGCAGGGGCCGGTTCCCAGGCTCTGGCGCTGGGTGCGCCTCGGCTTGTGCACCCGACTCAGCAGAAACCTTCCAGGGCAGCTCGGTGGCCCTGGAACAGCATTCGCCGTGCACAGCTTCCCCGGTGTGTTGCCCAGGCATGCCCACCCTGCCGCACCACCTTGGCATCCTGTTGCCTGTGGAGTTGGCCCCAACCTTTCCCAGGGCCTCTTGGGAGAGGCCTGTCACCTTCCAGGACTAGCCTGGGCACTCACTGGGGTCTTCCTGGCTCCAGAGCCTGGTTTAGCCCCGAAAGCTTCAGGCCTCTAAGTCCCTGGGGGTCTCACCCTGCTCCCTGCTTGGCGGTTGGTCCCCGGGCTGACCTGAGTTCGGGCTGGGTTGGTAAGAACGCCTCGCGTGGGATGCTGTTAAGGAAAAACTTGAAGTAAGCTGTAGAACTCTTTGTCAGCACAGAAAACAAACGCCCAACATGTGCATTTGTGTAAGACTGGTTTTCTAACATTGTGTATACCTTTGTATTAAGGGGAGGTTAAGGATATTTCTAAGAGAACAGTCTTTATCTCACCCGGCTGAACCTGCAGTTAAGAGTTAAAGTGAGGTCTACTGACTTGTTCAGGAAGGTCGCAGAGGCCAGTGCTGTGGCGCAGTGGATGGGGCCTCTGCCTGCAGCGCCGACATCACACATGGGCGACGAGTCCCGGCTGCTCCACTTCCCATCCAGCTCCCTGCTAGTGCACCTAGGGAAGCAGCTGGGGATGGTCCAAGTGCTTGGGCCCCTGCGCCCATGTGGGAGACCCAGAAGAAGCTCCTGGCTTCAGATAAGCCCAGCTCTGGCTGTTGCAGCCATTTGGGGAGTGAACCAATTGATAGAGCTCTCTCTCTATCTCTGTTTCTCTCTGTAACTCTGCCTGGCAAGTAAAACAAATCTTTAAAAAAAAAATAGTGTGTGTGTGTGTGTGTGTGTGTATAAATATAAAAGAAGGCCATGGTGACCTCTCCTAACTTTTTTTTTTTTAATCTTCACTTATTTGAGAGGCAGAGTTCCCATCTGCTGGTTTACGCCCCAAATGCCTGGGGTAGATGGGGCTGAGCCTGGGGCCAAGGTCTGGAGCTGGGAAATCATTCCTTGTCTCCTTGTGGGCAGCAGGAACCCACTTACTTGAGCTGTCACCGCTGCCTGTGCCATCTGACTGCATCAGCAGGAAGCTGGAGTTGGGGGCAGAGCTGGGTATTGAACCCAGACCCTCCAGTGTGGGATCCAGGTGTCTTACCTGCTAGGCTGCGTCCCTGCCCCCAACACCTATCTTTGACCTGGTCTCAAAACTGCAGAGCGGTCAGGAGTAAGCTGTGGGCTGTGGGTGTGGCCAATCTACAGGCCCTGAATCCCAGGCCCTCTGCAGGTAGTGCCCACCAGGGATCCCTGTGCAGTGCAGGGGCTCCCGGAGCTGAACTGGGATCCCAGGCGGAATCTGGAGAGGCAGTGGCAGGGGTGGGTCTCTGCTGCTGGAGCGCCTCGCAGTCACCTCTGACCTGCTGAGGCCTGAGCTGAGATTTCCCATGGGCAGAGCTGGAGAGGGGAGGGGCAGCTGTGCCTGGAGCAGCTTCTCAAGTGACCAAACAGCCCAGTCCCCCCTGGGGCTTGCAGTCTGGGGGCAGCACCCTGTATTTCTTTTTATTTATTTGAGAGGCAGAGTGATGGGGATGGAGCGGGGAGACAGAGAGAGGTCTTCCATCTTCCAGGTCACTCCTAGATGACCACAGTGGCCGGGGCTGGGCCTGGCTGATGTCGGGAGCCTGGAACTCCAGCTGGGTCTCCCACGTGGGTGTTAGGGACCCAGGTACTTGGGCCATCTGCCTTCCCAGGCGATAGCAGAAACTGGATCGGAAGTGGAGCAGCCGGCACCCCAGCCAGTGCTCCGACATGGGCTGGCGGCATCACAGGGAGTGGCTTAACCTGCTGCACCACAATGCCAGCCGCAGCCCCCAGCGTTTCTGCCCAGGCCATAGGTTCAAGGGGTCCCTGCGCAATCCTAACCTTCCCTCTTCCCTGCTGGCGTCTCAGCTAATGGTGCAGTGTGTCTTGTCACAGGCACAGGTGCTGCTCAGGTGCCCAAGACCCGGAATGTCGCCTGTACAGGATGCGGATCAGGGACCCTGTGTGTCAGGCCTGGAGCCTGGCATGAGTGCCTCCTCCCACTAGGTGGTGCTGTCTATCAGCAAATTTTCCAGGCTGCTCCTCCCTACACCCAGCTCCCCTGGCCTCCGCCAGGCAAGGCCCTGGAGTGGATCACCCACAGGGCAACACCCTCTGCAGGTCCTGGGGGCTGGCCACCACCTTTAGGCCACACACACTTCCCCTCAGGCCGGGGAGGGGTCCTGGGCATCCCTCAGCCGTGGCAGTCCAGCCTCACCTGGGAGAGCCGTGGCAAGGGCCTGCGCCCCCGGCCGGCACAGGTTCCAGCCGAGGCCCGGGGGCCCTCAGCGCGAATGCCGGTTCCTCCCCGTTTTCAGCCTGCCTGGCCTCTGCCTGTTCCCTGTGTTTCGCTGTGTCTTCCGGATTCTGTCCTGTAAGCCCTGTCTCTCACATCCTCCTGGGAGATCCCCTGTGCCCCAGTGAGCTCAGATCTAGTCCTGCCAGATGCGCACCCTTGGCTCAGAGCACTTTGCTGTGGACATGCCTGGGCCGGCGGATCCAGCTTCCCCGCCTCCTCACCCTGCAGTCTGCTTTCCCTTCCCACATGGCTGCAGGGGCCCAAGCACTTGGACCATCATCCGCTGCCTGCCCAGATGCATTAGCAGGGAACTGGGTGGGAAGCAGAGCGCCCGGGATTTGAACCCGCACTCCCGTGTGGGTGCTGGCGTTGCAAGCAGTGGCTTAACCCATTACACTGCAATGCTGGTGCCTCTATTTTAATTTTTTTTTTTTTTTTTTTGACAGGCAGAGTGGACAGTGAGAGAGAGAGACAGAGAGAAAGGTCTTCCTTTGCCGTTGGTTCACCCTCCAATGGCCGCCGCGGCCGGCGCGCTGCGGCCGGCGCACCGCGCTGATCCGATGGCAGGAACCAGGAGCCAGGTGCTTTTCCTGGTCTCCCATGGGGTGCAGGGCCCAAGCACCTGGGCCATCCTCCACTGCACTCCCTGGCCACAGCAGAGAGCTGGCCTGGAAGAGGGGCAACCGGGACAGAATCCGGCGCCCTGACCGGGACTAGAACCCGGTGTGCCGGCGCCGCTAGGCGGAGGATTAGCCTAGTGAGCCGCGGCGCCGGCCTGTGCCTCTATTTTAATTTTAATGGGCCTATAGTAATTACAGGGTGCAGCATGCTGTTTCAGTACGTGTGTATATCGTGAGAAGTGGGCAGATCAGGGGAGCACCAAATCTGTACCTGCGGTCTGTCATTTCTTTCTGGTGGGCCCATGACAGTCCTGGCTCCCCGCTGTTTTAATTCTTACTGCACTCAGAGTGGTTCCTGTATGATTGATGCAAAGCCCTCGTGGTTGGCTTCTCATCTTGCCCCACCATGGTCCACCACCCACCCCATAACCAGAGTGGCTTCGCCGGGCTCACGGTGACATTGGCACATCTTGCCCCACGTACATGCCCTGCTGCCTCCTAGGTAACACCCAGCCCCCAGCAGGACAAGCAGGATCCCCTGGCTGCTGCTGCACCAGGACTCACGGCAAACGGCCACGGCGGCGGCTGTCGGCGCTGACCCCGCCTTTCTGTCCCTGCTCTGGTCTCTGCTGCCAGGCGCCCAGCCCTAATGCTCTGCTCCCTCCTTGCCTCCCACAGCCTGGACAAGGCTTGAGGTTGGGATCGTGGCGTCCTCCCACCCTCCCTCCCATTCCTGTATCCAGCAGCCGCTGGGCCCCCAGTGCATGCTGGGAGGAATGAATGTGCTAGGGTCTGGGTCCAGGAGCCCACGGTCTGCCAGGAAGGCAGTGAATTCTCTGAGTGCGACACTGGATTCCCAGGGTGGCGGGCAGACCTGGCAGCCAGGCAGGGCTCAGCTTTGAGCACAGGGAGTCGATAGTCCTCTGCGAAGGTCGCCTTGCAGGCCTGGCCAGAGCTGTGGTTCGAGAAGCAGGCAGAATGCTGAGCTCAGCCCTTCCTTCTCCCCAGTGCTGCTCCCCCCGGAACAAGGATCGATTGGTTTTCCTGGTTGTAGAGCAATGCCTAGTCATC